GCTGTTCAAAGTTGGCCAAAAATTCACATTTTCCATACTTAGCCAAAATTTCCAAAACTTCAAAATTCTTTCCAAAAATGAAAATTTCAAATTCTAAGCCTCTTCAATTATTTCGTATTGCCGGATGTTACAATGGTGGAGATATTCCAATGCACATGCCACATCTATCATTATGCATAGTCTTTGCTGGATGTCCAAGAAGTAGTTGTGAGAATACAAATTCTTCTCAAGACTCCCATTAGGCATATACTCGAGCACTAAAGCCTTAAAATCAATGTTGGAACAACTAGTGATGACTTTTATGAGATTCCTATGGCGAAGGTTGCACAAACCATCACATTCTGTATCGAAACTCTTTAATGCCACATCCAGTTGCAGATTAAACACTTTAACTGCAATAGCAGTCCCACTTCTGAGAATGCCTTTGTAGACAGAGCCAAAACTTCCGGAACCAATCAGATTACTCTCGCTGAGAGAATCAGTTGCTTGGAGCAATTCATAGTATGAAATTCTACCTCTCGTTGCAATAGACAATGAATCATCTTGTTGAGGGTATTTCTTACCTCTTCTATACCTTATCCATACAAACAAAAGGGTAATAGGAACAAATACAAGTGCAACTCCGAGGATAAGAAATAGAACAAGCAATTTTTTCCTATTTGATCTATGCTTTGATGATGTGGGGCATGGCGGGACACTAAACCTTGAAGAACCACACAATGCTTCATTGTTGATGAAAAACTGACTCGAGAGGTTGTTGAACGGACCCTCCGAGGGAATTTCACCATGCAACTTGTTGACAGAAACATTGAAATACATCATGTTTTGAAGTTTCTCCAAAGACATAGGAATGGTTCCCGATATATTTTTATGAGAAAGGTCTAGGAATTCCAAACCTACCATGTTGCTCAATGAGTCAGGTATAGATCCTTGTAACTTGTTGTGCCTCAAAGAAAGGTGCACCAGATTCTGCAATCCTCCAATTTCTATAGGAATTCCATTTGAGAATTGATTCATTGACAGATTTATCAGTGTTGCAGCCTTTAAATTTCCGATTTTGAGAGGTAAAGAACCAACCATGTTGTTTGACGACAAGTCAAGAGACAATACATCTTTAAGATTCCTAAGCTTGCTGGTATATTGGAACTGAATTTTTTGGAACCCATATGTATCTCTCTAAGTGAAGTAACATTCCCTAGACAATTAGGAAGAGATCCTGAAAATTCATTCTTACCAAAGTAAATGGCACCCAAATGTTGCAGTTTACATAGACTATCTCCAATAAATCCTGAAAGTTTATTGTTGTGCAAGTAGAGGCACTGAAGGTTTCTCAAGTTACGAGTTGATGTAGGAATTGATCCAATCAAGTTATTATTAGAAAGATCAAGGTCTAATAAGCTGCTTAAGTTCCCAACTTCATTTGGAATTCTCCCTTTAATTTGGCAACTACTCGCGGAAAACCTCATTAGAGATGTGGAAAGGTTCCCTATAGATACTGGAAGCATGTCGTTTAGAGGGTTGAAAGATAAAACAAGATTTATCAAATTTCTACAATTGGTTAAGGAAGTTAGGAAGCTTAAAAATGAATCAGTGGTTAAATTGTTTCCCTCCAAGTTTAGGACTTGTAGACGAGTCAAATATCCAAGAGAATTGGGAATGAAGCCTGTGAGTTTGTTGTATGAAAGCTCTAGAATAGTAAGTTTTGAACAATTGGTTATAGAATGAGGAATGGTCCCAACAAGATTGGTTAAGCTGCTCAGATAAAGAAATTCTATGTTGGGTAAGACATAACCTATGTTCAATGGCAGAGTTCCCGATAGATTGTTGTGTGATATAGATCAATTTCTCTCAACCCTGATATGTTGAAGATCTCGATATCAAGTGGACCGCCAAATCTATTATCCCAAAGATTAAGTTCCTCCAACTCAACAAGATTTCTTATCTCTTTGGGTATTTCACCTGAAGAAATATGGAATAAACTGAGTTGATGATTCAATAATCTAGTATACCGATAAATGTATATTTTGCTACTTACCGGTAAATATATTTTGGTCAAGCTGTAGAATATGCATTTTGGTTAAGTTTCCAATTTCCCGTGGTAAGGATCCCTTGAGATTGTTCCTTCCCAGTAACAATTCTTGCAAGGAGGAGATATTGAATACAGAGATTGGGAAAGAGCCGGTAATCTTGTTTCTCGCTATGTCTAACTTCTCCAAATTAACAAGATTTCCAAATTCTAGAAATATTAGAAACTGTGGAGGGAATGATACCAGTGAAATTATTATATCCAAGATTTAGAACTTGAAGTCGGTATAAGAATTCAAACCAAGAAGGAACCTCCCCGTTGAAGTTGTTGAAACTTAAACCAATAAACTTAAGTCGACACAAACGTGCCATTTCTTGAGGCAAGTTTCCCTGGAAATTGTTGCCACTTAAGTCTAGAGAAACAAGAAATGTGAGGTTTCCAAAATCACGGGGATCCTTCCTGAAAGAGCCATGTAGGAAAGATTCAAGGACTTCACTCGCTGGTGACGAGAACCACAAGTGACTCCTACCCAATGACAAACAGAAATAGCGGGAGACCAACTTTCATTCAAGAAGTTAAAAGGGTCTGAAATAATTTGGGATTTTAAAGAAAAAAGAGCTAATTGATCAGTAGTAATGTTGGTTTGGGTCATGACTGAACTGGACATAACATAGTGAAGCAACAAGAATATTGTTAAGAGAAAAGAAGTGAAGATTTTCATCATTAGTGCAAATATTAGTAGGAAAATGGTATGGCTAATAACATGTGGTTTTGAGACTTTAAATAGCAATAAAGTCTCACTTAATTATTTATATGTGGAGAGAAAGAGAGACTTGGAAAGTAAACCAATTAGTCTTGCTTTATTTTCTGAGTGCTTAATTAGTTACGTTGTAAATAGTCATACTTTCATATTCTCTAGAAATGTGTAGCCAAATGTAGTGTTCCATTTATTAACTTGATGGAAAAGGATCATATTTGTTATTTTATTTTTGAAAAATAGTTATATATATATATATTTGTCCTTTTAATCTAACTTTAGACATATATTTATTTTTGGCCAAGTACGTCCCTTGTATGGCACCTACATAAATATGCTTTTATTCAATCTATTCTTTCTATTAATTTGTTGAGAAGAGCTTCACAGACATTTGTACCTATATTAAGTAAATTGTTGGGTTTGATTTTGTAAGTTATAATCATTCATAAATTTTTGTATTTTTTACATGAGAAAGATTATAATACTACCTATCTCTTAATGCCTAAATTTTATTTGAAAATAAACAAACATTTACGGTTAATTTAATGCTGAAAGTTAATTAAATTAACTATTAATAAGTGTAAACATGACTCGAAAAAGTATGGAATCTTAAACATTGTTTAAATTTTTTTAAACAACTTAAACATGACTCATGAGATTTGAAGGAATGTCTATTCGGCTTTCATTTTATTAAATGTATTTATCTTCATTAATAAAATATTTATTTGTAATAAATTAAATAATTAGCTTTTATAATAAAATACTTAATTTCAATAAAATAAAGGTAAAAGAGAAAAAAAAGATAAATGCACATGAAAGTCATCATATATAGTAGGGGTTATTTAACATACTTTTGTTAATTAGTGTAACGCTTTTTTGAGACAGGAAGTACTACTCCGTCACACACGACATTAAGTTATGTAATAATTAATTGTTGTTTGGTGTTTACCTATCACTGTTAATACTTAATTAACAGCTCGTATTGGTATTAGTCAATTAGCCAATAGGAATGAAATGATAAAATAATACGCTCTCCATCTAACAATAGTTATCCACTATATTAAAAATAGTTGTCCAACAATACTTGTCCAGTCTCTGTTTAGTAGAAGATGGAGTGAAAGCCATAACTCATATACAAACTCCATCACAATGAGTTGGAATTTGAACTCGTAAAAGTTCAAATTCCAACACATTATGTTGTATTTTATATAACATGTTTTGAATTGGAAAAATCCTTTTGGTCAGAATGGTATTTTATCTATGTTATTTTACCTTTTTGAACATTTTTACCCTTTTAACTTTAATATCTTTTAATTAAAAATTGGAAAAAAGATCCGTTTATTTTAAAATAAAAAAGATATTATAATTTTTTTTAATTTTCTGACCAAATTTTGATCAAATTTTCTGGCCATTTAGCATTACCCTTTACCAAACCGTATTTTTATCCAGATTTTAATTCCACACTAAAAAGTGATTAGTCTTCAACTACTTTGTGAACAACGATTATTTTCTATTATAGGTTAAGAAAGTGACAGGACCCGCGCTATTTTTATAATATGCCTTCTTGATTCCTACTCCATCAGTTCATTTTTACTTGTTAGTTATATACTAAAAATAGATGTCCACTTTAACTTGTCTAGTTTGAAAATCAAGAAATAACTTACCATTTTATATCTATTTTATCCTTATTATTAAATATGTATTATTTATTTCCCAATACATTTTTCAAAATATTGAATGTGTTATATTCAAAGGGTGATATAATAAACTTATTATTTTGTTAATTACTCCCTCGGTTCTTACGGCAATCCAACAGCAATAATGATAGCGGCTAAAATCATGTCAATTTTTCTTCTTGAGAGTCAAGCTACAAAAACTTTGATCAACATTTTAAAATCTATTTTTTCAGTATTGAGACTACAAGGATTGCAATTAATAAAAAATTTCATATAATGTTCGAACATCTAAATTTAAAATTCTAAATATTGAATTAATCAAATTTGTCTTAGAAGGTTACTCAAATTGACTCTCGTGAAGTTTGACAAACAATAACTGAACAGAGTGACAAACAATTATTATTAACTATAGTCATTTTTTCAATGCATTGAATTCAATACATATTCAAAAAGTGATAAAGTAAATTGAATTTATTGCTTCTTAATTAAGAAGTGTGTCAAGTCAATAATGGACAAGTAGAAATAGATATCTTGATCCTTGATATGTTAAATGAACTCAATAGGAATGAACAGAATTGGAAGTTCAACAAAAAGTCATTTGAAAAACTCAATAAAACATGATTTGTTAAATGAATTCAATGGAATGAACAGGCTTGGGAAATTCAACAAAGAAGTCCTTTGAAGAACTCAATAAAAGTGCCTATTGGCTTTCTTTCTTATTTAGCCACTGTACAGTAATATCCACAAACTAAGACAACTATTTATAGACCCTCAATTCATGTTCAATTAAAACAGAATTGCAAAATATTTCAGAGAAGAAGTATGAGTGAGGTAGCTAGAAATGCGAGGAAGTCTACCACTATCGGTGACTTACCAAATCGCATACTACATACAATACTAGAGTTTATGCCAATCCAAGATGCTGGAAGAACTAGCGTCTTATCGAAGAAATGGATGCATATATGGTCCACACTGCCACACCTTGTGTTTGGTCCCCTGTCTTTTAAGTATGTATCAAATATTGGTGCTTCTGCTGCAACCATTATTCATAAGATTCTAATGCAACACACTGGAAATAATATGGGATTTCATCTTATCTCGAGTACGTGCAAACTAGCACAGTCAGATGTGGATCAATGCATCATATTTGTCTCGAAGCATGGTATACAAAAGCTCACTCTCGATATGGCAAATGATGAAAATTACATGTTGCCTAATAGAATATTTACTTGTGCAACATTGACACATTTGAAGCTCTCAAGGTGTATCTTTAAGCTTCCGGATGATACCAAATTTCCCAATCTTATTAGCCTTCAGTTAGAACATTCTGAAATTGTCAATCATCAAGGATCAGCACTCTATCTTTCAAAGCTTGAGACTTTGGAGTTGACATTTTGTGTTGATGTTGATTCTGTTAATATGGTTTCTCCAAAACTTGTGAACTTGTCTATCCTTAGCAGCTATACGGTAACATTTGAGTGTTTTAATGTGAACCCAATACTTGAGAGGATTAAGCACCTATGCTTCGATGGTTCATCCCTAAAGGTGAGAAAATGACTGACTTGCTTTCTTTCTTATTTGAAATATGAAGTACTAACTATTTACTCTAATAATGTTTTTG